CGTTGTTTTCCAAAAAGCTTCCCACACCCCTTCCCCTGCACATTCCCTCATCTGTTTGCATAGTTCCACTGACCTCACCTCCAACATCCTGGATCCTCAGGTTTGCATCCTTATCACTTGCAAAGTCCAAGTTTGCCTGTGGTTTCTTGATAGCCCATTGATTAGTGTGACTGACCAGGTTTGTTTCCTGTCTTTGTCTCATTATGTTTGCCTGTCAGGTTTGTTTCTCTATGTTTTGTTTATGGCTTCCCCCTTTTCCTCATTGGACACAGTCCTTGATCATATAATCTTAAGGAATAAATATTCCCACACTCCATATATCCTTACCAATTAGTGTGACTGACCTGGTCTGGTTCTTGTCACTGCCTCCCTTATTGTTTGTTGGTCAAGTTTGTCTCTCTATGTTTTCTTGTTTATGGCTTCCGTCTTTTTCTTAATATCCCCTTTTGCATTGAAAAGGCCCTTGACCAGATACCCTTAAAGGAACAGACTCTCTTTCCTTCCACATACTGTTACAATACCGGTACTCAGACAGATATGAACAGCACAGACAACTTGATGCTATTCCTCATCTCTAGTTGATCAAGATAGTCAGTCCATCCATCAGCTGGCCCCTAGACCCCTGGCAAAGTTGAAAACCTTAAATTATACCCCTACATATTTTAAAATGTAGTTAAATAAGTTGCTGTAGAATGCTAGCAATAACAAATGTCATTACTTCAGTATCCTTCCTGCATTTCAACATCAGAATGAAAAATAATCCTAGATTTCATGGGGTTTTCTAGTGCCATAATAGTGTAACAGTGGATCTTGGACCCCATGGCTTGTATCAACAGCTTACTTCCAGGCTGTAATTCTATTACAGGTAATAGACTCAGAATGAGCTTTGATGGATTTTTAAAAGTGATGGCACAGACAGAGAATATGAATTTCGCTTCAAATTTCAAATTTTACCTTGCAGTTTCCTTGACAATAAAAAATCTTTAGAAGCATAATTTGTGTGTTTGCTACAACCATGGGAATCCTCCAGTTTTTTCATAGCGTTAACCATGTCTTTTGGGTTTTGTGGTTTTGTTTTTGTTTTTTTTATTACTGCTCGTCAGTCACTTACCCTTCAGTTTATTTTTCTTCTCTGAGGATTTGTGTCTGTGACTGCCTTTGGCATCTCTGCTTCAGTCTTATAATCTGATTGCTGGTTTCCCATTAGCTTTCTTGTGCAAGTAACATATCAAGAAATGTCTTCTGTTGCATTACCATTTACTCATTCCTGTTGTACTCTTTTTAGAAATACATTGGTTTAATTGATATTACCCTAGTTAAAATTCTGATCGAGATCATACAGGCTTCAGTGAAAATCTGGGTATCTTAAAATATTGCATAAACAACTGTTTCTTCATAGGTGGCTCTACATTTTGTGGTATTGCATCTCTGTGTTTGATGGGTAAACTGGAGGAAGTTTTTTCAGAAAAAGAACTGAACAGGATAAGAAGGTGGTGTATAATGAGACAACAGAATGGCTACCATGGACGACCCAACAAACCTGTAGACACCTGCTATTCCTTTTGGGTGGGAGCAACTTTGAAGGTAGTGTACAGAAAATCTACAGGATATGTATTGACTTGTTTTGATTTCTTTAACCATCTTGTTTTACTTGGAAGAACTACATATTTGGTGCAAGTACAAGAATTTGCAAAGATCACTATAAAGGTTTTTCATCTTGAAAAAATGCAAGATGAGGTTTAATAGATTAGTGCTATATTGCACTACTTATCTATGTAAATAGACATTCTATTTTAATATTTAAAAATATACTCAAGTTTAGTATATTACTGTAACATTTTAACTTCTTTTCAGCTCTTGAACATATTCCAATATACAAATTTTGAGAGAAACCGAAATTACATCCTGTCAACTCAAGATCATCTTGTTGGTGGATTTGCCAAGTGGCCAGACAGCCATCCAGGTAAATTTGCTTCTCAAAATTATGGTGAGTTTCTTTTAAGCTACAAATATATTCCAGCAGTCAAACATCTGAACAGTGTAAGAGAGGGGTTTTTCCCCCCCGTCTCCTTCAAATAATGGAAAAAAAACCCCTTAAAATATGAGATTTTCCTGATTAAGAGGGAAAGGGATATAGTTTTTCCTTGTTCAGCATCAGAGCAAGTGAGCTGCTGTTGTTTAGACTATCACCAAAACAGTGTCACTGTTTGTTTAGAGCTGGACAAGCTTTTCTGCATGTGTTTAACCATTCTAATTAAAAATCATACTGTGCAGTGGTTATCTTTGTAAAGGGTCTGAGTAAAATATTTCAGAAAGTTTATTTCCTTAGAAATTAATCCTTTGAGCTTATTCAGAAATCTTTGATGTATTTAAAAATGCTCAACTCAGAGTTTAGATAGTTACATATTATGATTTACAGATTGTAATTACACATAGAAATTTTACATAGTATATCTGAAATAGGTATTTGTTGCATTTTGGAAGTGGAAACTGATGATTTGAAAAGATGCTAGAATTCAAAGGAGATACTGTAAAGATATGAAAATAAACTTTGTGCCAGTAGTAATGTTCAATGACGTTTTGTACAGAGAAGATAAACAGTCCATAAACTCACCAAACAAGATAAAAACATAGTTATAATAAAGGAGGAGACAGAATCTGCACTCTGATAATATAGTGCTCATGACATGCTTCCCTCCTGAAAACCAGTTTAGGATTCCAGATGACTAGCTATATTTGGTGTACATTATGTAGACCAATCAGTATCACTTCGAGGAAACATTTCTGTTTGTCTTGAGGAACTATTTACTTAGGAGGTTAGGAAGAAAAACAGTATGTTTAAAATCCCAATCATGTAAAAAGTTCCTCAACCTGTCTTTTAAGATAGTTTGAGATAAGATCTGAGGAAGGCAAGACTACTAATAAAGCTGTTTGCTTTGATTTGTATGGTGTTCCTGCCTGTATACTACTGTTTCCTATAAAGCAAGCTTTTCCTGTCTCTTAAACTTTCTTTTGAGAATAAGCTGATTTTAACTTGAATGCTCTGGCTGACCACAGAAACGGAACAATAAGATTGAACTAAAGTACTTAACTAGATTGTTGCTTTATGAATGTACAGAAGTTTTGCTGGTATGCCAGATTTTTTCTAGCTCTAACAATTTATAGAATACATCTTATAAGATTGCATATCTTCTGGGAAAAACTTGTTTGGTGTTTCCTTTGGTACTGTTGAATTTTAACGGTGTAGGATTTTTACAGAAAAAACTAATCAGTTTATACTTTTGTGATAGGTGGGTTTATTGCAGTGTTCTTTCCTCAGGCAGATGGTGGTGTAAGTCTGTGTTCATATTTTGAAGAAAAATAGTAAAAAAGTTAATGAAGTTCTAATCTGAAGAATGACTGTAAATGCAGCATCATTTTATTTTTTTAATGGATCTATAGTTTCAATGCCATATATACACAGCTGAGCTTCCTACAAGATCAGTCTACTATCTGAAAGCCAAGCTGTCTTTTTGAATGCAATAAAGATTATTAGAGATTATTTATTTTTTATTAATGAGAAGTGTCTGTGCAGCTCCATTGTTTTCAGAAGCCTACTGATGGTTAAATGTACACAGTCTTCTTGACTTCTGTGCAAATGCAAAGTGTGAAGACAACAAGACTGGTGTGGGTCATCTCACAAATGAGTTAATAGTTCTGTTGAGGTCGAATAAGGACAGAAATTATTAATTCTCCTTGAAGCATTTAGCTTTTGTAAAGCTGAGAATAGTAGCTTCAGTTTGGTTTTGTTTCAAAACTCAGATGTGACAGAATATGCAAGGGAAAGGTTGCAAAATAAGCATATGCATTTTTTTCACAGGTACTTTCTAAAATAGATTCAGAATTTGAACTTCTGTAGCTCCTACTTTATGCAAAAAGCTCTGTTTAAATATTACACAGACTACCAAAACTGCAAGTAACTTTTCACAACTGTTGATTCAGGAAAATATTATTTTGTAGTCCTGATGTTCTCATGCTAACAGATGTTAATACATTGTTGGGTTTAGAGGTAGCAGTGTTTCTTGATTTAAAATAGTAACTGTTTGGATCAGTGTGCCTGTTGAGCAGTGATCTTAGAAAACTATTTCTTGCCTTTGAAAATCATTCGGAAAAGTCAAAAGTCTTTTAAATGCTAGCAATCCTCCGAAATCATGAGCATACCAAAGTGAATCTTGAAAAGACTATTGTTTAGTTTTTAGTAAACATCCACATAAGGTTGTCAATTGCAGGAAAGGCTATCAGAAGTTTCCTGATAAAAAGCAGTTAGATCTGCTATCTTATGTTAATGCTATTTATTACAAATATTAAACCCCCAAACATTAGGGTTCTATAGAGCTGGGTATTTTGTTAGAACACATACCCAAGTCATTCATTTTTTTCTAGATTTGAGCATAAATCATGATAAGATTTAAATAAATTTAAATAAATTTCTCAAACTACTAGATGTGCTGCTGGTGCATCTCACTTGATATCTTTAAATTGTATCTATACAATACAAAAGAATTGGAAATGTGTGAATTACAGGTGACGCAAAAGAAAGATTAAAAGATCTAACATGATAAAAAGAGAGGGAGAGGATGGAAATGAGCGTGCACATTTACTAAATGTAAAACACTGAAGTGAGATTTGCACTAGTACAAGTATAAATCCACCTTGTGTTTTTGTTTGGTTTTAAGACAGAAACTCAGTAGTTGTGAGGTTGTGTACTGCCATGTATTTGTGAGTTGCTTATGAAACAAAACATTTGGACCTATGTTTTTCAACCTTGAAAAGTCTTGCATTTTTTATAGTTTTAAAGAGAGAAGTACACAGGCTGCGTAGGTGTGTTATGGCTACAATGGAGTTGTGTATTAAGTTGATATGGATTTGCACAAGTGTAGAACTTCATGGTTAAACTCACTAAATATCCCTATATAGGTAATTAGGTTTGTATGTGGAGTTTAGTGAGTATTAATACAGCTTTCCACAGGAGTTATACTATATTTCCTGAAGTTGAGCTTTCCTTGCCTGACATACTTTCTGCAAGGTCAATAGGGATTATACCGAATGTGCTTTTGTCTGCATGTTAATGCTGATAAGCAGAAGCCATGTTTCATAGAAGGTATCTGGCTAGCGAGACTCTAGCCATATAGCTTGTTGTAATTAGTGATACCTCCAAAAGATTACCAAGTGTTGAGAATATGGATGGGACACATTAAGGTCACATCCTCTTTCCATCTTTAGGCTGTGATTTCTTGGGCGGATAATCCAACCTAATAGATTATTGTTGTGCAGAGGGGGCAGGCTCACACCTCTTCCTCCCAGCTTCCTTAAGTACAGCTGCATGTCCTTTCCCCTTTTTGCACTAGATTTGGCGTATATTGTGAATGCTTCTGTAAACCAGTTTAATTTGCTAAAATGTCAGAAAGCTGTCCAATTTTTCCTGCTTGGGTTAGTTTTCTTCCATGTTTTCTGAATTACTTTAAGTCATGGAGGGTGTTGAGCAAGCTCTAGTGCTGGTGTAAGATAAGCAGCAGGAGAGCTGTGAGATGAGGAAATAAGAGCATCTCATCTCTGCTGATCAAGCTACTTAATGAATTCATATCTTTAGAGTATTTTCTCTGGAAGGGGGGAGATTAGGGAAAGTAATTATTTTTTTCATACTTTAAATCTTGCTGTTTGGCTACTGGTGCTAATTTTGGTGTTTCAATAGTCAGCTGTCCACTAAGTAGCCAGCTATCCACCTGGCCTTTCATTTGCAAAAAAAAAATTCCTTCACGTTGCAAGGAAGGAGTTTTTACTCTGTTGAAGGAAATGTATTTACAGCTCCTAAAATTATTTTGCTGTTTGGCCTGAGAATTCAGAAGAAATTAAGTAGCGGGTAAGAATTGTTATAACATAAAAGAGACTCTAGTCTTAGAGATTGCACACCATCATTTTATGCTGGAGGATTTGAGCAGAAGCTTTTTTCTTGTTTCAAATCCTAAGTTTAAAATGTAGCATCTGTTTGTTTTCCTTGGTTTTAATTACTCAGGGGTTTTGGAATCCAGGAACATTTAGCTATTACAGCCTGACACAAACATAATTTTCTTTTTCATTTTCCGTCCTGCTTTCAGATGCTTTACATGCCTACTTTGGGATTTGTGGCTTGTCGTTAATTGGAGAAACTGGTATTTGCAAAGTTCATCCTGCCCTGAATATAAGCACAAGAACCTCAGAGCACCTTCACCACCTCCATCAGATCTGGAAAACAAGGACTCTAAACAGTGTTCAGATGAAACACACATCTCTACATGAATGATTTAGACTTGATTTTAGTTCTGATAGCATAATTGTATCCCAAGGTTAAAAGCCATGTATAACCAGTGTGCTCTTTTAAGTGCTGAAGTCATACGATCAGATCTGTGTTGCTGGCATCATTTTGATAGGTAATTGCCTCCAGACAGTTATTCTGCACCGAGGATAAAAGGAAATATTTTGGATATATAGAAGTTTGTCACCACAGATGGTAAATAGATCTTCAAATGGCTTTGCTTTTAAGAAATACCTTGAGGCAATTGAATTTAAATTTTATTTTTAAAATTCGTACATACTGTGTCAAAATATATAATGGGAAAGTATTTTCAAAATCTGTTTACATATCATACAGTATAGCACAGAACCTTGAAGCTCTTTATGATCTTAATGTTTGACATATTTTAGGGTAAAGAAACTCCCATATCAAGTATCAGTTCAAAGTTACCTTTTATCATCTAATTTCAGATTCCACAAACTTTGGGGTTTTTTTTAAAGTAGATACAAATAAAATTATTTTATTCAATATACTGGACTTTTAAAGTTACTAAATGGATTTCATAATTCTACTGAGTAGCTTCTACACAGATGCAGTGAATTCTTAGCCAGACACTGTTTTGGACTGAAATATTCTCTTAATGGGATATTAATGAGGGTGCAGTGTATTGATGTATAGCATTAAGAGATATTCAGCACAGAATAGCTGTGTGTGAGAGAAGCATTAGAACCTGTTTCACAAGTAACCTTTGCAATACATTAAAATTATACAACTGTACTTTGATTTTTTAATATATTTTTCTCTTTTAGTGTGAAATAATTGTTAGGCTTTTAATGCTTCTGTGTAAAGAATGAAACATTGGTCTTTAAGATAAGCTGGTAATGGTTTACTCAGAGATGATGAGCATTCTCAGCTTATTTAGTAGTAGTGCCTTACTTTGTGTGCTTGAAATGCTGCTGTGGTGGGTTGACCTTGGCTGACCACCACAGTGGCCCACCAAGCCACTCTCTCACTCCCCCTCCTCAGTGGGATGGGGGAGAAAATAAGATGAAAAACTTATGGGTTGAGATAAAGGCAGCTTAATGAAAAAGAAGCAAAGGCCACACACAGAAGCAAAGCAAGAAAAAAAGAGATTTATTCTCTACTTGCCATCAGCGGGCAATGTCCAGCCACTTTCCAGGAAGTACGGCATCAGTATGTGTAGCAGCTGCTTCAGAAGACAAATGCCTTAACCATGAATGCCCTCTCTTCCTTTCTCTTAGCTTTTATTCCTGAGCAGACGTCATATGGTATGGAATATCCCTTTGGTCAGTTGGGATTGGCTGTCCCAGCTACGTCCCCTCCCAACCTCTTGCCCACCCCCAGACTACTTGCCTTTGGGGGCGGGGTGTGTGTTTGTGTGTGTGTGTGGTGTTGGAGAGACAGCAATGAGAGACAATGCTGTGGGAACATTGCTCAGCAACAACCAAAACACTGGTGTGTTATCAACATAGTTCTAGCTACAAATACAAAGCACAGCACTATGAGGGCTGCTATGGGGAAAGTTAACTCCGTCCCAGCCAGACCCAATTAAATCTCCACCCCTTATTCCATTAACTACTATCCCCTGTCCCTTAACAAATAGATAGATCTTATTTTCCCATTCCATGAGCCTCTGCCACTCCCCCAAATGTCCTTAAGAACAGGCTATGACTTGAGCCTCATCTGTCAAGGTGGTCGCTCAGGACAGGAGAAGCAGCATGTTTGATTGTTGGGTGCCAACACCAGCTTGGTTTGGGTTATCGCTGCACTCGCCTGGTACTTTGCAAAGCTTACTCTTTGTTGTTTCAGGTAGTTCCTGCTACATTACTTCCTACAACATACAATTCACATCACAGATTATTTTTCCCCAAGGTTAAATCTCCTTGAGGTACACACCAGATCTCCCCATCCTTCCGCATTACCCACCAAGTACACTCAGGTCCTTGAGCAAAGACAATCCCAAGAATGGGCTTGCCTTTTCTCAAGAGAGGAGCAACCCACAATGCCTTCCCCAGCCACTTCCCTTTGTTCAGGACAGGGACCTTATCTCCTCTCACAGGGGCTTGTCTCTCTCTCTAGGGGCTTTGTTTGGCCAGGACCAGGACAGTTAGCAGATCCTCTGATGTTAACCAGACAAGTGGCTTCTGCTAAATTTATCCCAGTGCTTCCATGCCCCATTGCCCAACACTCTCAACATAGTCTTTAACAGTCCATTATATCTCTCAATATTTCCAGAGGCGTGTGTGTACTAAATATAGGCTACTTTTTACTTGTACAGGCAAAGCCCCAGTACAGTGCTAGGAGCTGCTGGTTTTCATTGGGGTAGGCAAGGTTTCTATCAGGTAGAAAGGTTTCTATCAGGTGGCGCATCAGTTTGCCAGGGTTACTTGCCTGTTCAGGTGTAAAGTCCCAGGCTATGGAAGGTGATAACCACTCTAGGCACCTGCCCAAAGCCTTCCACAGACCCTGCCTCCCAGACAGGCGCCATCCACCTCAGGACATGTTTCAGTATATCTCACCCAAAAGTTGTCTCCTCTTACGCCAGGATGACACCAGATTCCACAAACCTGAAAAGGCTGAGGTACTCAACAATTTTTTTGCATGTTTTCAATGGTAATCTCTCTTCCCACATCTCTCAAGCCCCTGAACCTCAAGGCAGGGACTGGGGGAAAAAAGTCCCTCCCACCATAGGAGAAGACCAAGTTCGAGATCACCTGAGGAACCTGAACATACACAAATCCATGGGACCCAACGAAATGCACCTCAGGGTCCTGAGGGAGTTGGCTGATGTAATTTTCAAGCCACTCTCCATCATATTTGAAAAGTCACGGCAGTCAGGAGAAGTCCCCAGTGACTGGAAAAAGGGAAACATCATGCCAATTTTTTAAAAGGGTAAAAATGAGGACCCTGGGAACTACTGACCAATCAGTGGTGCAGCTGATAAGTTAGACAGAAGGGATGCCATCCAGAAGGACCTGGACAGGCTTGAGGAGTGGGCCCGTGTGAACCTCATGAAGTTCAACAAAGCCAAGTGCAAGGTCCTGCACCTGGGTCAGGGCGATCCACAGTATCAATACAAACTGGTTGCTGAACTGACTGAAAGCAGCCCTGCAGAGAAAGACTTGGGGATACTGGTGGATGAAAAATTGGACATGAGACGGCAATGTGTGCTTGCAGCCCAGAAAGCCAACTGTATCATGGGCTGTATAAAAAAAGTATGGCCAGCACATCAAGGGAGGAGAATCACTTCCCCTCTACTCTGTTTTGGTGAGACCCCACCTGGAGTACTGCATCCAGCTCTGGGGTCCCCAGCACAACAGAAACATGGACCTGTTAGAGCAGGTCCAGAAGAGGGCCACAAAAATGATCAGAGGGCTGGAACACTTCTCCTATGAAGACAGGCTGAGACAGTTGGGGTTGTTCAGCCTGGAGAAGAGAAGGCTCTGGGGAGACCTTATTGCAGCCTTTCAATATATAAAGGGATGTCGTGGTTTAACCCCAGCCAGCAACTAGGACCACACAGCCGTTTACTCACTCCCCACCCCCTGAGTAGGGTAGGGAGAAAAGGAAGGGAAAGGAAAAAAACCTTGTGGATTGAGATAAAGACAGTTTAATAGAACAGCAACGGAAGAGGAAAATAGCAATAATAATAATGGTAAAAGAATATAAAAAATAAAGTGATGCAACACAAGTTGCTCTCACCACCTGGTGATCGGTTGCCCAGCCTGTCCTGAGCAGTGATCACAGATCCCTGCCTCCCAGCCAACCCCAATTTATATACTGAGCATGCCATCTATTGTACAGAATGTCCCCCTGGCCAGCTTTTCCAGTCTATGCTCCCTCTCAGCTTCTATGGAAAGCTGAAAAAGTCCTTGACTTAATATAAGCATTATTTAGCAACAACTAAAACAATATGTGTTATGAACATTCCTCACCATTCTTCTCATACCAAATCCAAAACACAGCAGCTATTGGAAAGAAAATTAACTCTGTCCCAGCTGAAACTAGGATAAGGGGGCTTATAACAAAGATGGGGACAGACTTTTTAGTAGGACCTGTTGCGATGGGACTAGAGGTAATGGCTTTAAACTAAACAGTGGAAGATTCACACTAGATATAAGGAAGAATTTTTTTAAAATAAGGGTGGAAGAGGTTGCCCAGAGAGATGGTAGATGCACCATCCCTGGAAACATTCAAGGTCAGGTTGGACAGGGCTCTGAGCAACCTGATCTAGTGGGAGATGTCTCTGCTCATTGCAGGGAGGGTTGGACTAGATGACCTTTAAAGGTCCTTTCCAACCCAAACCATTCTATGATTCTGTGAGTCTATGATCTCCCCTGTGCTGCTTGGGGTTGGGTAGGGGGAAGAGGTAGAGGAGTTGAGAATGAGGAGTTGGGAAGCAGAAGCAACCATTTAAAGTTTCAGCTGTTCAGCCTGCCAACACATCAATACCCAAGATATTTTCCTTAATTAGGACAATTAACACTGTTGCGGTAAATGGCGTGGCATTTCCTATTGTTAAGGTAACCTTAGCTTGGAGGGCAGGGGTTGGATTTCCCCCCAATCCACAGATCTGTGATGTGGCTTCCATATTATTAATATGACTATGTAATACAGTAACCTCAGCTCCAGTATCCAGCTGAGCTAACACATGTAAAATCCCCCCAGACCGCCACGCTACAGTTAAAGGAACATAGGGGCGTTGGTCCCCCTCACAGTAAGAGACCACAGTGGCGGCAATTTTGGGGGACCTGCCAAACCTTCTTTTCTGCTGTTTTTGCATTTGCCAGGTAGTGCCTTGCCTTGAGGTGGCAGGCAGGGTTGGAGGGTAGGCACGGAGTTGGTGGTGGGGCAAGTGTGCTCTTTATATACTTTTCTACCAAGGCCAGTAATTTTCTACTTTACTTATTTACACCATCGCGTATTCTAAAAGATCATGTTCCCACCGAAAAGGGAATCTCTCCTCCCTGTGAGCAGCACCTCCTTATCTAGGGAGCTGCTTCACACAACTTCCTCATCTGCCAAAACAGTGCTACAGCTGCTTATTCCTCCCTATTAGTTCTACCACACTTAACCCCTTTTGCCTCAGTCCCTGACAATTCCCCCTTTTTGTTTGTTGAACAATCAGCACTGTGTTTATTGATTTTTCCACCATTCTCCGCGTACATTGTAAAAGGCGTGGTAAAAAGCACGGTTCTGCAAAGCAACATGTCTAACCGAATCTACATCCATTAATAAGCTAGATAGAGCCAGCGACGTGGCATTGCTGTGTTTGGTAAGCCAGCACCCTAATTTATTCAACGTGGCTAAATCTTGCAAAGCAGCAACTCCT